GGGCTGGCTGGCATGTGGTGCTGGGGGATTGAACCGTGGTCCCTGTGCTTTGCTAAGCTTGTTTCAAGTAGGTGCTTTAGACCACAGAGCCATCTCTCCAGCCCCTAACTTAAAAATATTTTACATAAAATATTTTCCAAATTTTGTGAGAATTCCTACTAAAACATACTTGAGTACAGTACTCCTATTTTCACATTCAGAACATACATTATCTAGAACAAGTAGATACTTGTGAGGAAATTACTCTAAACTCAACTGCTTTATAAACAAGATGTCCTTTGTTCCTACCTATATTCTACTCAACTAGTTCTGGAATAACAAATTTTCTAAAGTTACTGGAAGCAGGTATAGTCAAAGGACTGATGAGACTGATGTTAAATTATTCCAAGTCTAGTATGAAATAAATTTAGGAAATAGTCTCTATTCCCATAGCTACCTTTACTTTTCCCCTTAAATTTACCTTTAGCTCTGCAACATAAGCATGCTGTAAGTTTGGTGAAATGATTTTAAGATTCACAATAGCATATGTAGGATCAAATTTGATCTTCAATTAGTAATTTAAGCAGCAATGAGCAATGACACGTCTCTACATCTTATGTTTGCCTAATTGCTGAAATTATTACAGTATCTCATTTGGGAGGCACACTCAGGTTAAAATCCCAGCTTTGTCTCTTATTAGATTTGAACCTGGACAAATCACATATCTAGTTTCTCCTTTGTTTCCTCACCTATATAATAAGGATAGCAATTATCATGTTTGTCTGGTTGTGAGGATTAAAAGAAGCAATGTAGGTATATCCCAGCATTTGGAATGTTCCTTCTCATAACTTTCTACAAGAAGTATATTTTTAAAAATTATGAATTTAGAAAAAGTTTTTAGGATTTACATATTATTTTATTTTAAATGTAATTCAAATCATCAAGTTATTTCAATGACTTAATTCTGGCATATAATTAGGACTTTTGCTAAGGGAACTATTAAATAGACTGCCACTGTAACTTAGTGGCATAGCACATGCCTGGCAAGCACAAGGCCTAAGTTTGATTCCTGGTACTTTTATGGTATCCCCCCATAAAAAGACTGATTATGATGCTTTTAAAGTTCTTATTGTGCAATGAAATAAATTTTAATATTTGTTTATTGAATGTCCTTTTACTCAAAGGACCCAAATTTTTTGACATGCAAAATTTTGTGATTTCAGTTGACTATCAGCTTTCAAAAATCAGATGAATAGTTAGCAATTCATCTGAGTCACTTAAAGTGATTTTACTTGCTTGGATAATACAGACTCCAAAAATCATATATAAAATATAATCTAGGATTTAGTAAAATAATCTGCATTTTCTACTTTTCCTCTTTCAAGAGTCTAATAAAAAACTGGGGAAATTGTTTCAAACATGTTTTCATGAAATGGAAAAATATACAGAGTTCTTTTACTCTAGGATAATAATTTTTAAAAGCATTTTACAGGGTTGGCGAGATAGCTCAGCAGACTAAGCGCCTGCTTAGGTAAGCAAAGGGACTGGGGTTCAATCCCAGGCACCACAGGTTCTGTGATAGCCCCCACACAAACTGAGCTGGCCCCAAGTCCAGGAGTGGTGGTGCATGTCTGTAATCCCAGCTCTGGGGCAGCTGAAAACAGGAGGATCACTACGAATCTGAGCTGCATAGTGAGACCCTGTACCAAATGCATTAACAAATCATTTTACAATTAAATGTTAAAACACTGGAAAACTTACAATCAACTGGCTCAAACACAAAGTATATTAGAATGCAAGATAATGCCTATTCTGACAGGAAAAGATGAGAATGCAAGATAATGCCTATTCTGACAGGAAAAGATGAGTTAGCCCTCAAATGGTAATTTATTCTCAGTGCTGCAAGTTGGAGATGAAGCATATTTTTATTCAAAGATGTCCCAGAAATATTTGAAAATAATCTCTTAGAATGTATTTGAAAGAGAACTAAGTAAATATTTACTGGGAAAGATAAGACAGTTTGTTACAGAGATAAATGATCATCAGTATATGAAAAAAAAAAGGATATGCCAAGAGACTAAAACATATGTTAAGGGTCTGAATCAAGAGAGGGGCCAGTAACACAGAAAGGTAGAAATCCTGGGCACTAGTAAGATGATCTTAATTCTATACTTTGACAACTGTGTTCAGCAATGCAGCTGAAAAATAAGCTGCAGCATCTAACTCATAAGGTCACAGCAGATGATAAGTAACAGGAGGCTTACATAAAAAAGGTCATAGATATTTTGCAAAGAAAAATGAAAAATGTATTTTATGTTAAGCTAAAGGATAAAGACAGAGGAATATAGATGAAACACTACTCTTCAAGAAATAATCTAAATCAGGAAATTGGGGATCTGTTTTTCTCTTATTCTTAGTTTTACCTCCCTGAAAAATCTTAGAATTTAGACTAGTTCTAAGTTATTGTCTAGTAAGTACTCAGAATCTGAAAATATGATCACTGTTTGCAAATTGATAGTTTCTTTTTTTAAAAAAATTCCCTTTTTGACAGAAAGTGCTTTATTAAAAAAAAACAAAAAACAAAACCAGACTGTTTTAGACATTATTAGTAATGAAAGAAGCAAAGGGAAACTTTTAAAAATAGGATGATTTCAAGGGTATGTTATCATTAAAAGTATACTCCAATAAAATATAAGTAACAAATGCTGTTCACATGTCAAACAAATATGTGAGAAGCTGGCAAAAGGAGAAATTATGAAAACAAGATAGCAAAGAAATAAAGTTTTGCAAAGAAAGATGGTAAATCTCAGTTTGCTCAGAAATGTAAATGTGGCAGCAACCCTCCACAGAAAGGTGCATGCAGCTGGATGACTTCTCCAGCGTTTCAGATCATGGGAAGGAAAAACATTTTCAGATAAACGCACCAGGCTTTGCTTGGGGACAACATAAAAGTTAATACAGGTTCAAGACTATGAATTACTTTAAAAGTTAGAAGAGGAAATTAGTTTTGTGTCAAAAATGACCTTTTTAGAGAATTATGACCCTATATTATCTTAACCATAAACTTAAAAATTTCATGTAAGTTTAGCTCTACAAGTTTTCCAATAAAAATTTATTTCTTAAATAAATGAATATGGAACATAAACATATATAGAAAAATAAAAATAAAATGAAAAAAGTTAACATTTGATTTCCTGTATCTTGTTCTATGCTCTCTTATGAACTTCCTTAAAAATGCCTGGAAGGAAATAATTATGATTTGGAAGGTTAAAAGAAATGTCATTCTGAATGGGTTTTGGTAGTTTCTTCTTCAAAGCCCTTTGAGATAATGATTCTACACTTTCTATAAGAAGAAAGAAAGCAGAAATTGGGTGGCTGCTTTCTCATGGGCAAAATTCACTGTCATAAAACTGATCTACAAAACGCATAGGCAATGGCAAAACAAAATGTTTGTATTATGGAAGAATGGGAGACACATTATTATATTATGGAAGAATGTGTGCCCTGTGAGGAAGAGAGCTTATAAGAAAGCTTATCTGTGATCTATAGACTATTGCACATTCAAACAAAATACAAGAGAAAAAAATGTCCAAAATATAGGTATGAAAATGAACAAACTAGCTTGTGCCCAGAAATAAAACATGGGTATCAGACACCATTGCAGTCAAACCTGTCTTAATTTGCTTCTGTTTTAATGACCTTTAGAAAATGGTCCAAACTGATTATCAGCAATACATTGTTTTTGCTTTTTCTTAAAAAAATATTTTGAGACCACTTTTGATACACACACACACACACGCATAATTCTGTGGTCATAACAGACAATTTTAGCGAGACTAGACAAAAAGTGCAAAACTTAAAAAACATTAAAAAATATGGAAGCATAAGCTAAATTTTTCTGCATAGCTGAAATCTATTTAAAGCAAGTCCTTGTTGCAGGTATGGGAAGGGGTGCTGACAGGAAGATAAAGCAGTTTTTAAAAATGTCTTTTGCATGTTTAAATGATGCAAAAAATAATTTTACTCCATAAGCTTGAAAACATTTCACAGACAATTCATTCCTATATCTTTAGACACCATGGTTGTGGCAGTGCCTCCATCTGCAAGGTAAACAGCGGTGCTGGACTTGGAAGGAATTGCCCGATCGCTGCTATTGTTGTTGACCTCACAGTCCAGTGGTTCAGTGGAGATGACCCAAGTAGAGGGGCGCCACCGCTTCAGGGAATAGGGAGTTTTCACACGTTTCTTGATCTTTTCACCTGATCCTGACTTGCCATCCTGTATTGACTCACCTACCAAAAATAAAAGTACACAAAAATGAACTACATATAGAAAATATTAAAAAGTAAAAGCTTAGGGTTGAATTCCAAGAACTGGTGTAACCAATATGTGCAGAAGCAACTCATGGACATTTCTGAAAGTCACGATGCCTGGCAATGTTTTGCTAGGCAAAGCTTAATCATTTAGAGTATTTTGAAGATGCTTTAGGCCAAATATTTTATGACTGACTGACTTATACCATAGGGCAAGGAATAAAATATAGAAAGACACAATTAGATATTCCAACTTGGTAAAAATATACTTAGTCCACTAATGCTCAGAATGAATCAAATTTACAGCTGTCCAGCATATAACATTTTTCAGAAGAATGCCAGAAATATTCAACAGAGCCATGCAATAAGGGTGTGTTAAATGGTCTAAAACACAAGTCACTCAAGCAAGGGCCTAAAATTACTGAAATTTTCAAGACCTGTATCCTTCCATTATGTGGTCTGTAACACTCACAAAATATTACTGTCAATTAAAAAAAAAAGCATTTTACACCATAATGACTGTAAGATTTTGGGGAGCTCTTCTGTCTTCTGCTGTCATTCCTTTAGGGCAAGAAGCCAAGAGTCACCTTATTTGCTTAAACTGTCTTGGGGTCCATAATACAATACTCTAAGTATATGACAGATTTAATATGCAACTTCTGAAAAAGATGACACCAAAAAAACTGAGAGCCAATGCAGTTGCCTTATTCCTTCTTTTGGGAATATATCTCAGGGGCACACTGGAAAAAAAGAAAGAAAAAAACCCAATAATCCTTATTGATAAGGATAATTCTCTGAACTTTGAAGATTTATTAAGGTTAAAATCTAAATGTAGATGTAGGGCTAGGAATTTAGCTTAGTGGCATAGCACCTGCCTGTCAAACACAAGGTCCTGAGTTTGATTTCCAGTACCTGCCCCCTGCAAAAAAAAGTAGACATTAATACACAGAAAAGGTTTTCAGAAGTTGTAGTGCTAGTGCCATATTTGGTGAGTCTTTACTGAATCTCACATATTTATAGCATGTGAATTGCATTATAAAGGAGCAGTTACATAAAGCACATATTAAACTGGTAATTCTATTTGTGCCATTGACCTTTTAATTATTGACAAAAAATTATTTTTTTCTTCACAACAGTCTAATTACTTTTGAGATCTAAACAAATGGCTTAATTTACTTCCAAAAGTAGTAAACAACCATCATTTGAAACCCGATCTGAGTCTATTACTCTGAGTAGTTACTTAAAGAGTCCCCAAGGACATGTAGAAGTAACTCCACTTACTCTGTACACTACAGCCATCCAGGACACTGGTGGATGAAAGATCCAGAGAATTGGGCCTCTGTGCTCTTCTAGGCTTTGATGGACCAGGATCTGCTACTGTGCTTGAAATACCCTGCGTAAGAACATCTTGTTCAGAGCCCGGATTGCTGTTGTTGTTATTAGAATTAGTTCGGCCACCTTCCAGTGGTCGTTCCCTCCTGTCCATGAGACGATCCAGAACACCTTCATCACGGCCAGCTTGCTGTTCACGTCTCAGTAAAGGCTCATGTTCATCAGGACTGGAATTAATATTTAGCCGGGTATCTTCACCAATAAACTGATTCTGCAGCATTTCTTGGGCCCTATGTGCCACTATGTTTGTTGTCTGGCCAGACGATACTGCCCCATTGGCATACTGGGTAGCAGCATGAGAGTTAACACTGTGGTTTCTACCTGCCACACCATTCATGGTGACTGTCACCACATGAGGTTCTGCTGCGTTGATTGTATTCATCTTGGCAACTCCAGTTTCTACTTGTTTCAAGTTTGACTTGTGCTTACTGCCAAATTTTAGTCGGGACTCCTTTGTTGAATTTTTGGTGTTCAAAGGCAAACTAGTAGGTCTCTTAGGAAGGTTCTGTTGCTTAGGAAGAGGATAGATCTGACTAGGTGGAACATCAGAAATTAAGCATGCTTGCCCATTGGTAGCCTGTGTGAAATCCTGTTGCCCAGTCACTTCTACTGCAAGCTTTATGAGTGGGTACAGTAAGCTAGAACTGGTACTGCTCAGTGGATCTGGCCCACTGAATTGTTTAAGAGAATGCTCCATGAGGTTCTCATCAGAGCTTTCCTTGAGGTTCTTATCAACTTCTTTTGGGTCTAGCTTATTGGTCTCTAAGTCTTCTTCTGTCAGCTGCAAACAGACAGGGGTTGGACCAATAGACTGTGCAACATTTGTGGCATGGAGATTTGTTTCATCTGGATATGGCAACTCAGATATAGTGGTCATGCCAGTACTTGGAGTGAGGCCAGTGGTGTTCGTGGTGGTTGTGTTGGTAGACAGGCTGGTGACACTTGTTTCAGGGCTGGGGATTCGAGCTTGTGCTTGCTGTCGTTCATAATTAATTGAGTTTCGATTCTTTTCCCCCATGGTCAAAGGTGTGCTGGACATTGAATGCTCAGAGGAAATATTCTTCACAATGCTATCAGTGTGATGGATAGAGTCTTCAATATATGAAGAAGATGAATAATCTGGATAAGGGCCAATTTTTGGCACTCGCCTATTATGTGACAGGTTGCTTAAAGAAAAAAAAAGTGACATTGAGAATATGGACTTAGGACAAACTATCTCTGCAAGTTTAACATCTCTGATTTCATAGTCTGAGCCATTTGTTATTTTGCTCTTAACCTATATTATTTTTGAAGTTACTGAAAAAGTCTAATAAAATAATCATGTATTAATAACTTGCTAAATTCTAGGCACAATTTATAACCTTAGAAACAGCCCAAAGGCCCAGCAACTCATAAAAGGGTAAAGACATGTTTTTTATGTAATGGAGGACTACTCATCCATAAAGAAGGATAAACTGGAGACATTTCTAGGTAAATGGATGCACCTTAAGACTATAGTCTTAAGACTATATATAGTCTTAAGACTACAGTCTTAAGTGAGATAAACCAAACACACATGTGTAAGTATAACATTGTTTCTCTGGTGTGAGAAACTGAAAGGGGAATTATGAACCAAAATATACAATAGATATTGTGACATAGGAAAAAATATTCAAATGAGAAGGGAAGGGAGAAGGGATAAAAAAAGAAGAAAAAAATGGAAACAAAATTTTGTAAATAAGGGAAGAGGGGCTGAAGGGAGGGGAGAAGGGAGAAAAAGAATCAAGATGTATCATGTACAGGTACAAATTCTCTATATCCAATGTGATCATTATGTATAACTAAAATGTACCAATAAAATTAATTGAAAAATAAAATTACTTGCTAATTCTAAATTTACTTGAATCAAGCATACTGAAAACCGATATAGATCTAGATATGACTTTTTTTAGATATGATTTTTATAGATATTCATTATTTTGGTTTAGTTTTAGTTTTCTTTTTCTTTTTTTTTTTTAAAGTGCAGAGTCTCACTACACAGTCCAGACCTGTAGTGATCCTCCTGATTTCTGCCTCCCAAGTGCTGGGATTACAGGCGCGCACCACCACGCCCAGACTCCATCACCAGCTCAGTGCACCTAGGAGCAGGGCCAGCGAGGCATGTGGAGCCAGGGATCGAACGCTGGCCCCTGCGCTTAGCTAAGCAAGCACTTAGTCCACTGAGCTATACTGTTGGCCCTATTATTTTGGTTTAAAGGAGTTAATCTGAAAACATGTCCTATATCACAAATACACCTTTCTGAACTGTACACTAATACAACCCAATGTTTCATTTGTGAGAGGGAGAAGCCATACATGTTTCTGTTGTACTCCTATAATCCTAGCTCTAATACCTATTCAACAAATAGAATCTAAGTTGCAACAGCTGCATGGTAAAAAAAAAAAAAAAAAAAGCTTTCACTTGCTCTGATATAACCCAAATAAAAGGCACAATATCTGGGTGTTGTGATGCATACCTTATAAGCCTAGTTATTCAAAAGGCTGAGGCAGGAGAATTTTGAGTTTGAATCTAACTCAGACAATTTATTGACAGCCTATGTCAAAAATAAAACTTTTTTAGATTTTTTTTTTTTTGGTCTGTTTTTTTTGTGGAACCGGGGATTGAACTCAGACCCTGCGCTTGCCAGGGAAGCGCTTATTCCACTGAGCCATCTCCCTGGCCCAATAAAACTTTTTTAAAAAGGACCAGGCATGGAGTGTAGTGGTAGTGTGCTTGCCTCCACACAGGACATGTTGTGTTCAATTCTTAGTGTGTGCCTACACACACACACATACATAAACAGAGCCTACCAATGCATCTGTCAGTGATTGTCTGAGGAATATCAGTGAAAGTCCTAGAGGTCCTACAACCTAGGACTGTGATGGCGAACCTTTAGAGCTTTCAATGATACTAACAGCCTGCTTTGGCATGTGTATTACATGGTTGGCCACCACAGGCCTAGGATATGAATAAAATATGACAATGTGATACAAGATCAAAGATTCAGAACAGCTCATTTCAAAGGTTCTTTACAGTCATGATTATTCTTGGGGGTGATGGCTTTTGTAGTATGTCTATAATTATTTAAACTTTCAATAAAGTGAAAATCAGTAGCAGCTTTAAGATGCTCAAGGTAAAAACACTGGGAACATTAGCTACAAGGGTAAGAGGACAGAAGAAGCAGCTGAGGAAGAGGTGCTCTGAAGAGATGCTGATAATGTTCTAAGGAGAATGGCAGGAAGGGAGAGAAGACAAGGAGGTTACACAGCCATGAGAATAGGAAGCTGCAGAAGTACGGAGATTAAGAATCAATAAAATCAAATCTAGAGTGAGAATGAATATGGAGTAAACTATGATTTATTGGAAATTATTAATAGAGACTGGAAACGAAAACAAGCATGACGGGGAGTAGAGCTAGAAAATATAGGAGGCAAAAAATGGCCAAGGCAAGGGGGACCATTAAGTGCTTCTTGTATTATTAAAGGAAGTTCAGAAGCATTTAAAGTAAAAACTGCCACTTAAGAGAGGTATAAACACAAAATAGACAACATGGAAAATACAGAAGGAAGAGATGAAAGCAAGAGGCTGTCCTCAAGTATTTGCAAAGTGAAAAAATTTATTAAGTATGATAAAAATAGCGAATGATAAAAAATTTTAAAAATGTATTACAGTAAAAGATACAATGCCATTCATTTGCCTCCCAGTATTCCCCCTTGCCACAGACACACTCATCCATCATTCTTACCACTTTCTGAAAAGTCACACTACACACTGTGTCTGATCCAGTAAACAGGTGAATGAGGACACATTGGCATAATTTTTACAAGCCTGCCTTTCCCTTGGATAGTACTTAGCAGCATCCTTCTCTGTAATTTTTCTTTTTAATCACACATAATAAGGCTACTCAGGAAAGAACTTCCAGAACAGTTTCAGAAAGTGGCAAGAATGGTAAGTGTGTTCCCAAAGCAAAGGAAGGTATTTTGAGAGGTTTTAATGGTTATGTGTTTGTTTTTTTTTTTTTCCCCAGAATCGGGGATTGAACTCAGGCCCTTGCGCTTGCCAGGGAAGCGCTTACTCCACTGAGCCATCTCCCCGGCCCCGGTTATGTGTCTTTTATTGTAGTAACTTCTTAAAATTTAAAGTTTCATTAGGTATTTTGAACATTGCTCCTATGTTTAGAACTGCTAGTTTCACTTTCTTGACTTGTTCACATATAAAATTAAGAGTTTATAATTGAAGATGATTCAATGTGTAAGTATTACAAACAATTTATAACTGTTCTGAGAAAGAATAGAAAATGGCAAAAACAAAAACAAAAACAAAAAAACTGGTTCAAGAATGAAGTACAGGGGCCAGGGAGATAGCTCAGTAGAATAAGTGCTTGCCTGGCAAGCGCAAGGGCCTGAGTCCAATCCCCGGTTCCACCAAAAAAAAAAAAAAAGAATGAAGTACAGATGGGCACATGACTGTAATCACACCCACTTGGAAGGCTGAAGCAGGATGATCATTGCAAGTTCGAGACAAGCTTGGGCTAGGAAGCGAGCTTAAAGCCAGTCTAAACTGCATAACGAGACCTTGCCTCAAAAAGACAAAAAAAAGGGGGCTGGTGAGATGGCTCAGTGGTCTAAAGCACCTACTCATACTTAGAACAAGCTTAGCAAAGCACAGGAACCGCGATTCAATCCCCCAGTACCACATGCCAGCCAGCCCCCCTCCCCCCCGTGGGCTGAGCTAGCCACACGCACACACACACACACACAAATAAATAAAATTTTTTTTAAAAAAAGTAAATATATTTTTATGTAGTTTTCTCTGGTAACCCTTTCCTGGATGTCTTGAAATTTCTAAACACGTATTTGGGGGCCTGCCCATTAGCTCAGTTGTTTAAATGCCTGCTTAAGCAAAGGCAGTCAGGCTCAGGATACTGAGGTTCAATCCCCAGATCCACATGCCTTACCAGACCTGCCCTTAAGGCATCCTGAGCTGGCCAAAAAAAAAAAAAAATTCTTCTGAACATATATTTGATAAAGTGAAAAAGCTGTAGAATGGCTTTCTGGATATGAAATAAAAATATAGGTGATCTAGTTTGAAGTCATAAGAATTTTTTTAAAACTTTTTTTTTCAGAACCAAAATCAGTTTCAAGCAAAAGAAATGTTTTATAAAACAATGTTCATGGTAGAATTGAAAGACATTTTTTTTGTTTTGTTTTTTTTTTGTTTTTGTGGAACCAGGGATTGAACTCAGGCCCTTGCACTTGCCAGGGAAGCGCTTATTCCACTGAGCCAGCTCCCTGGCCCCTGAAAGACATTTTGAATTGCTTTAATATAAAAGTATTAGTGTATTCTGTGGGAAATAGCTTTGGATAAGAAGTTTAGAAACCTTAGTGTCCAGTGAAACACTGATTAGACACGTAGAGAAGTTCACAGTTCTATTTACACTTATTTAAAAAAAAAGAGGGGGGAGGAAGAAAACAAAGTATATTAGGTAGGGGCTGGGGAGATGGCTCAGTAGGATAAGCGCTTGACTGGCAAACTTAAGGATCTGAGTTCAATCCCCGGTTCCGCCAAAAAAACCCAAAAAACCAAAAACAAAAAAACTCCCAAAGTATATTAGGTAATATATGCAGACATCGAAACAACTTTTTGGAACTATGAAACTACTTTACCATTATGATTGCAGGGAAGCTGAGATAATAGAATAGACTAATCCTTTACTGTTACAACAAAAAATAGATAGATTGTGTCTTGCACTCATCCCAGAAGAATAGCAACATTGAAAAAAAAGACTGTAAGTTTATATCATATTAGTTAACCATTATACTATCAGATTGGTTTAAAAATATTTCTTTCTGGGCCAGAAAACAGCTCAGCAATATCAGTGCTTGACTTGTACACACAAGGTCCCAAGTTTGATCCTTTGTACCACAAAAAAAAAAAAAAAAATTCTTTTCTTCTTCTTTGTTTGGTCTCAGGTTCCAATGCTAGTTGGCAGATGCCAAACCCCTCAGGGTCTTACCGCTCATTCTGCATAGCAGTAGACATTGGGTTGACTGTTGGGCTCACAGATTTGTTTCTTTCCCATATCATCATGAGCTCAGCCATCCTCTCCTCAGCGCACTGTGCAGTGAGCCGTGCCTCAGCGTCTTGGTCCCAACAGTCTTCAATTGTCTCCTTGAGTGACCTTACTGCCTATAACACAAATACATGTCAAACAGTGTGCCTCAAAAACAATCGCTGAGATTTTTAGTTTATATTATGTGGTAAAAGAAAAATCATGCCTTTAAAAAAAAATCGTATTTTAAGAAGTTATATAATAGGGGGCTGGGGAGATAGTTTGCTGGTCTAAGTGCCTGCCTGGCAAGTGCAAGGACCCAGGTTTGATCCCCGGTACTACATGCTATGCCGCCATGCCAGCCACCGAAACAGGATGTGGTAGCACACACTTGTAATCCCAAAGCTGAGGAACTGAGACAATAGTATCACTATGAGTCTGAGCTGTGTAGCAAGATCCCATACCAAATAAATACATAAATGATTTTTAAAAATAAAAAAGCTATAATAATATCTAGTGTTGTGACATGTGCATATAATCCCAGCACACAGAAGGCTGAGACAGGAGGACTGCTGTGAGTTTGAGAAAAGCCTGCACTACACAGTGAGATCTTGCCTTTAGAAACCAACAAAAAGGCTATAATAAAATATTTTAAACTTCAGAGATGACAAATGTCTTTTTCAAAGGTGAAATTTTAATAGATTCTCAAAAGCTGAGAAGCAAGTAAGTAAACAAGGTTTAACTTAATTCTCTGAAGAATCATCTATAACATTAAGAATCTATAATAAGTTGCAGGTATTTCTTCAAGACATAGGTTTCTAACACCTTGGCTCTATTATCTCAAGCCTTATTAAGCCATATCCACCAATTCCACTTAAGAGGAAGTTGTGAGTTTGACGGATTTTTCTATTTAGCTACTTTTAGCTTCAAGTGAGCCTTTTTTCTAAGTCAAGTGTGCTTCATTCCAATCTTAAAACAGCCCATTCTGTAATACTCCTATGTATTAGCAATGAACAATAATTTTTCTTTCTGAAAATTGGTTTTGAACTCCCTTTTAGAGGGCAGACTTTGGATACTGAGGTAGACCATCACTAAAAATTCCTTCAGACCTATTTTTAGATTTCTATTTATTAAGCTTTTTGTCTGCTCTGATATTTATTTATTTAATGTTTTCGGTACCTGGTCTTACTATGAAGCTCAGACTCATAGTAGTGATCCTCCTGTTTTCAGTCTCCCCAGCACTGGGACTACAGGCATGTACCATCACACACAGTCTTGGTGGCTGGCTCAGCATGCCTTGGGGCGGGGCCAGTGCAGCCTGTGGTGTCAGGGAACTGAACCTCAGTCCCTGTGCTTGCCTAAGCTGGTGCTTAAGTCTGCTGAATTATCTTAATGGCCCTGCTGATATATATATATATATATATATGTTTAAAACAATTATAAAAACATAAGTGGTTGGGGGCCTGCCCCTTAGCTCAGTTCTTTAAGTGGCTGCTTCAACAAAGCAGTCAGGCTCAGGTTGCTGTGGTTTGATCCCCACAACTCAAGCCAGCCAAACCTGCCCTGAAGGCATTCAGAGCAAAAAAACCCCAAAAACAAACAAACAAACAAAAACAACAACATAGTGGTAAACTGGCTGTGGTGGTACAAGCCTAAAATCCTAGTAAACTGAGAGGCTGAAGCTACCAGCCTGGGAAATTTAGTGAGATCCTATGTCAAAACAAAAAGTAAAAAGAACTAGAGATACAACTCAGTGGTAGAGTGCCCCCAGGTTCAGGTCCTGGGGGGTGGGGTAAGGGAGACAGCTCTAGGATAGAGTTGTCAGATTTAGCAAACAAAAGTCTGGATAGCAACATAAATTAAGCTTCAGATAAATTTTAGATACCACGGAACACTTGATTTGGGTGTTTTATCTGAGAATATTTAGGTTAAAACCCTTGTTAGTAATCTTGGTGGTATTTTAAATATTTTCTAATATTGTAATTTATGTTCTGGAACAAAGAAATCCAAACTTTTAAACCTACAAGAAATTTAATAGCGCTGCAGTGTAGCTCAGGAGCAGACTACTTACCTGATCTGCATGAGGCCCTGTGTTCAATCCCTGGCATGGGAGGGAATGGAAGAGCAGAAAGGAGGGAGGGAGGAAAGGAAAGAAAGAAAGAAAAAAAAGGACAGATAGACAGACAGGTTCTTTTGGGGCCCATGTTTTGCATAATGGCCACTCTGGGCAGTAAAGACTGGATGAGAATCTCTCTTAGCCTGCTGTTCTTCATGCTAGGCAACAGCAGTGAGGTACGGGTCTCAAACATGAGACCTGTAATGGAAACAACGGATTTTCACAGAGTACTCTTTGCTAAGCTAAAATATCCAATAAATAAGGTATGTTAAATACATTTTTATTTATGACATTTTCTATTTACAATGAGTTTTTCAGGGTGTAGATCCATTCTATGTCATGGGCCATCTGGCTTCACTTAAATGCTAGATTCTGACTGAAATCCTGCTACCACATGCAGCTGCATATCACTACTACTCACAGAAAGCGTTTTGATTGAGTCCATAAGTGACTGGTTACATCTATGTGCAGTCAAACCATTGCCAGTCCATGTGCACTTGCTGCTGCTTCCCAGTACTTGCTAGCAACCCTACTTAGGCTCCACCTCAGATCAGCAGATGTTGAGAGTCTCCTAAGGAGCTTGGCATAGATCCCGCACATTGCTGTGACAATGAGAACAGCCGTAAGCACTGCTCACTTGCCCACTGCTCCCCTTGTGCTCTGCAGCCCAGCTCCTAACAAGGCATGGACTATAGCCTGGGAATTTGGGAACACAGAGGACTTTCCTGTCTCCATGTAGCTCAAGGAAGTAAAAGCTGCCTCTTTAATAACGAGATGATATTTAATGTGAGCACTAAGTTAACTTCAGATGCTAAAGCAGCAGACAGTATCTTCAATCAAAGAGAAATGATACATGTGTAAAACAGGAGACACTACAACAGAACAAAGCCATAGTAGTTGTGGGGACCTGGTGTCAGTCCCTGGAGTTATCAGATTGGAACCCTGGACCAGAGATAGGGCTGAGAACACATCACCTTACAAAGCCTCCAAGAGGGTACCCAGCCCAAAGCCATTCAGTCTTACACATCTCTCGTTTCTGAGGTGCCCAGCATCCTTCCTAGGGATATACTAGCATCTGATGGTTGACGAAGTGTCTGATTTAGAGTGAGATGCCTCTAAACTAAGGCACTGTGGACTTAGCTCATGGATACATTTTCTGTTTCCACAGGTTCCACAGTTTCCAGTGCAAGCCCTGCCTGGCAGGAGATAGGAAACAAGGTGAGCAGTAGAGTCATGTGGGCCCTTGGGAGTTGAGGACCATTTTGAAACACAGTATTTTAATGTAAAATACCCTTAAGCTCTCACCGTGTGTGCAATTGGCAATGCAGTACATCTTTGTTGTAAATTTTAAGAGAATAAAAAATAAAAGGAATATGTCATTCACAAACTCAATATTCAAAGAAAACTATAGTTAATATTTTCATATATTACCCTTAGATTATTCTATTTTCATTTTCAAGACTATGCTTTCACTTTCATCTACTAACCCATGTTTGGGGCTCTGGTAGTTTATAAAATCACAACCTCTTTCCACATTCTCTAACATTCAGAGGATTCTGCATTTTTTTTTTTAGGAAAATGGTGTTTTTTTAGTTGCAAAGGAAAAAATGCCTTCTTTTAAAAAAGTTGTGTTTCTCTTTTTGTACTATGTATTGGTTATCTGACTCTACTCTTGGATTGTCACTGAAGAGAGGCAGTTCATTGATTTTAGCTCATAATGTCTAAGTGGGTATATTGGAAGTGAATCAAACATTAAAAACCCTTTACTTAGCAACGTAGTCCAAATTGGAAGTAAAGAGTTTTCAGATAAATATGCATGTGATGCACAGCCTATAATGGTAGGGCTGCCAAGAGATACTTTAAAAGAATAGATCTTACTTGCTCTCTATAAAATAAAGCAATTTAAGGAAGATAAAGTTGTATGTCACTAGAATAAAATTTCACAAAGTTTTTTTAGGGATGTTCTCCTAGGGGCTGGCATCTCTACTGAGCTGTGGTAAAGTAATGACGCTCTTGGGGACCTCTTGAAGATCTGTCCCAGTTCCTATAGCAAGGACTACAGCCTGAAGGAAATTTTGGGCATATTTAAGATTTCGATCTCATTTGAAAAGAGGCCAACCTTCAAGGTAATCTAACAAAGATGGCCAATGAAGACAACATTCCATCTAAATCTGTACACAAGTTTTCCTAGCCTCCCTCAGATATGACACCAATGAAAATACTCTAATCCTACCAAGATGATATAAAATTGGTATACAAAAATATAGAGTAAGATAACTTAATTACTAAATTATTTTTTCACTTTATTTTAGTCAAGAAAGTTGATCTGTAACAATGTAATCAACATCTTCAGATATAACCAAATTTTTATTACTTTCTTAAAGACAAATTGTTAAGGAAGTATTAAGAATTTCTGGGGGGCCTGCCCCTTAGCTCAGTTCTTTAAGTAGCTGCTTCAACCAAGCAGTCAGGCTCAGGTTGCTGTGGTTCGATCCCCACAACTCAAGCCAGCCAAACCTGCCCTGAAGGCATTTGGAGCAAAAAAACCAACCAAACAAAAAAAAACCTCCTTCTGCCATTTGGGCAGGGGAGATGGCTCAGTGGAATAAGCATTTCTCTGGCAAGTGTAAGGGTCTGAGTTCAATCCCCGGAAGAATTTCTATATTAATATTGTGGTGACAATTTAAAATTTTAGTAAACAGTTAACTGATACAGTGGTAACACTGAATAATAAATGAGTAACAACAAAGGTAAAACTTAGTAAGTCTTGGACAATGTAGAACAATAACAACAAAAACAGATGGAAAATAAAGAAATCTTGGCTTTTCCAGTATTAGGGTTTGAATTCAGGGATAGCACCAGCTTTTTATTTTCAGACAGAATCTTGCTAAGTTTTCCAGGCGGGGCTTGAACTCACAATCATCCTGCCTTAGCCTTGTTAGTATACTAGGACCTTATGCACACGAGGCAAGTGCTCTACCACTGAGCTACATCCAAAGCCTCTTATTTTTATTTTGAGTCAGAGTTTGCCTAAGTTGCCAAACCTAGCCTTGAGCTTGAGATTTTCTTGTCTGAAGATTACAGGTATATACCACCACACTTGGTTCTGGGTGGTGATTTTTAACATATTCTCCCTAAAGGTGTAGGAGCTTATAGTAACTAATATAGGATTTTTATTTCCTATAAATCCAATCATAATTTTTTGTATAGTAAATGCTAACATAATCATAATTCTGCAAAACAATTCACTTCATTTAAAATTTTAAATTACAGTCAAAATATAAATCATTATTTTTATTTTTTTTTGGTGGAACCGGGGATTGAACTCAGACCCTTGCACTTGACAGGGAAGTGCTTATTCTACTGAGCCATCTCCCCGGCCCCTAAATCATTATTTTTAAAGAGATTGCTATGATGTTTTATAATGGCTAAAATGAACAGAAAGTACACTGAAAATTAGTCTTGATTGTATTTGTTAAATTTCACAACTAGATTAAGGTATATTTTTAAAAGATGAAAAAAAACCATTTAATGATAGGTAAAATAGCATGAAACTAAGAGAAGGTAAATAAGAGATAAGAGATGAGAATAGGTGTAATAATTAAGATTAAAATGGTAATTTTTAAAATAGGGAGGGAACCTCAGCAGGACACAAAAGGAGTTATGGGGAAGGCAATTTTTTCCATTTCCATGTTTATGCTCTTCTACTTAATTTTTTTTTTTGGTACCAGGAATTGAACTCATGACCTTCTGTTTGCCAGGCAGGTAGTTGTGCCCCTGAACTATCTCCTTGGCTCTACTACTTAATTTTGTTTACCATGTGTAAGCATAACTCTGATTCTTTTAAAAGAGAAATGCAGGGTACTCTCATCAATAAAGGTACCATAATTATTTTTATATATTATAAAACAGAATATGAGCCAAATGGAGGTGATGAGATATCCCTATAGGCATTCATATCAATAATTATCAATAAGTAGAAAAAATAAATTTCAGAAGTTGATAGTGGATAATTAAAAGATCCTACTAATACATAATAATCCTATGAACCAGGGTGGTGGTATATGCCTATAATCTCAAAATTTGGGAGGCTGAGGCAGGAGGACTGAGTTCAAAGTCAGCCTGGGCTACAAAGTAAACTTAAGGCTAACTGAATTGCATAGAGAGTTCCTGTCTCAAAAAAAAAAAAGAACAAAACATCTTATGAATGTGTGAATATATAAATGCTTTAAGATGTTTTTAGTAGTGTCACATTTTCCTCAAATGGCAGGAGTCTTTTCATTGAGGGACTTAACCTAGCTGGGAATGTTAAACTAAAGTACCTCCCCTGCCCAGGGTCTTTTTAAGTCAGTCACTAAGTTGAGAAGGTTGGGCTAGAATTTACAATCTCTCTGTATCAACCTCTTGAATAACTGATATTATAGACATATATTACACCTGGCTGTGAACTATATTTTAGTAAGCAGAATTTATATACTGCACCTAGGTTTCTTTTAGATCTAACCTATTAGCCATTGCATCTGTAATCCAGCATTAATTAACATTTCTGGTATTAGTCAGCAAATTGTATTTCAAGATCATATTTAGCTAATGTTTAAAATACTAACATGTCAATTATTTCAGGTGTCACCAAAATCTGGCGAATTTCAAACATATCATTAATTTCCCTGAACAGTATAATCTAAGGTCAGGCATAGTGGCACATGCCTATAATCCCAGCATTCAGGAGGCTAAGGCAGGAGAATTGCCATGAGCCTGAGCCTAGCCTGGGCTACAGAGTGACTTTAAGACCTCCTAAGCCACATGGTAAAACCCTGCTTCAAAAAACTAAAAAAATTTTCTGTTTGAAAAACAACTGAAACAGAGATAAAAGAGGAATCTATTTTATATTTGAAAATTCGAAAACATGGATTATCATCAAAATTAAGTAAATTACATTTTTGGCATTGTGTAACCCTAAAGACTATTAACATTATTAACAGTCTATTTTTGTTTCGAATAACCTTAAAATATATAGTCAGGAGTTCTCTTCTTTAATAATTTAGCTTTCTCTTACCAGGCTATTTTCTTTCCAGGCTTCTGGGAATTTGGGTCTCTGTTTTTCCCTAGACACAAGAACTTGCATATCTTCAAAAGTGGGATGGTTTCCAACTTCTGTCTGAAAAGCCATCTGGTATTCTGGTACAGATTCACCTGTGTATTTGAAGAAAACAACAGCAGAATTTCCAAAGGTAAATGATGGAACAACAAGTATTTCTGATACAAAGTAAGCAAAGAAATATGTACTAAACATTTGGGCACATTTGGAACTCCTAAAGCAGTGAAGAAGAACCTTTTAGAGCTTTCAATGATACAAACAGCCCACAGCAGCATGCGTGCTGCAGGTTCTCTACCACTGTCCTTAAGAGATCCTGTCGTAGGCTTAGAATTATTAACAGTTCACTTAGAAAAGTCTCAAACCTTTGTTGGTAAATCAAATTCTAGTTTCAGTAATGAACAGCTATTTTATTTACTTTTGGTGCTGGAAATTAAATCCAATGGCTTACATATACTATGCACATATTCTACCACTGAGCTACACATAGTCAAAAATGGTTTCTACTATTGCTACTACTAACTTTTTTTTCTTTTTTAATATTAATTTTATTGAGAAAGAAGTAGTAAAGAGACAGTTTTAAAACAGGTTAGTAGGACAGTTATAATAATTAATGCATTACATATTCTCTGTGTAGTTATTCATAGTACAAGAGGCAGACATGATATCTTGTCTAAACACTATTAGTTCAAAACTTTCTTCTCATTGAACTAAAAGAAAGTAGCTGCATATCTATCCTAACTATTTTGTGTATATATATATATTTTTTTTTTCCACTACAAAATGGTCCTTCATTTATATCCCCTTTTTGTTTACCTTTGTCAGAGATGGGTATTCCATTCCCACTCATACATTGCAGGTGCATGAATTCAGCAAAGTAACCCAATGTAGTCCAGTCTGTAATAGTAGTGTGTCGCTACTACTAACTTTAAAGGAGAAAATAATTATGTCTCTAAGGCATACTTATTATTTAAAAATATGTCTGAACTTGGATTTACTCTAAGAGTGTAGTGAAGATAAAGTAAAATTCCCAGATTTATATTAGAAATATATTTATAGAATTAAACATGTGGATGGACTGAAGAACCACCATTTTTTATTAGGTCATTGGCTCTATTATAGTCTGAACAGAATGTGGTAATGTCACAATAATTTTTATGATAATGGTCAGGTGACAAGACAACTCATACTGGGCCAGTCAAATAGCTCAGTGGATTGAAGCTCCTGCCAGCAGGCACAGGGGCTGGGGGTTTGATTCCCAGGCCTGCCCTGCTGGCCCTGCCCCAGGGGCGCACTGAGATGGCAATTGAGACTGGGCGTGGCAGTGTATGTCTGTAATCCCAGCTCTTGGGAGGCTATAAACAGGTGGATAACTACGAGTCTGATCTAGTAGTGAGACAATGAATCCCCTGTAGATCCTTCCCTAAAAAAAAAAAAAAAAAAAAAACCAGTTTTGGAAATATGGCCATTTTCACTATAGGGGTTCTGCCTTTCCAAGAACAAGGGCCTGAGTTCAATCCTCGGTTCCTCAAAAAAAAAAAAAAAAAAAAAAAAAACTGTAGATCCTTCCCTAAAAAAAAAAAAAAAAAAAAAAGGCAACTCATACTGATTTTTTAAAACTCTTAATAAACAAGCTGCATTAAGAATTTTAAAACATTGTAAACTTTCCAGGTTTAAAAAACCATATTGATCATCATTAAGAATAACTAGGTATTGCTTTGAGAGGTTTCTGATTTTTTTTTTAAATGTGGTAAAATTAAATGTATTAATGGACACACAACCATACTGTGACCTTTTGGACCAACACTTTGGAGGCCAACAGTTCCGGCCTCGGTTCTTCTGTGGAAGTCATTTGACTATTCTGTGTCTCAGTTCTGCAGTCAGCAAAATATCAGCATCCACCTTCCTTACCTCACTCTTACCAAGGTAATAGTTACTTACAATGATCCAGAGGAAGATATGTTACAAAACATGTTATTTAAGCTCTGTGTTTCATGTAAATATTCAAAATAATGCATAAACTCTTGCCTTCCACCAATATAAAGAAGACTTACAAAGATTAACTACAATTTTTATTGTCTATTAGCAGAGTCCAAGTTATTAAAATACCGTACTACTCACTACTGTCAGCTGGGAAGTTGAGGCAGAAGATTCATGTCATGTTCAAGGCCAGCCTGGGTTACATAGCAAGACATACAACAAAAAACCAAAAACTACACTACCTATAATTACACGCCATATTTTTTATGAACAATAAACAAACATTTAAGATACTAGTTTTGATCAGTGACAACACTAAAGTTGAGAGACAAAATAAAGGATTTAATCATGGCTATTTGGTTTTTTCATGGTGGTTCACCCTACACTGTAGAGTGTATTTTTTTTCCTTCATCTTCAGTCCAAATTCACTTTTTTTTCTCATTATTAACTTTATTGAAAATCAATTATATAGCAAACTAAAAATTGTAGACAAATATTGAAATGTGAAAGATATAAAATGTAGACAGTGAATTTTAGAAAATTCTGAAATGAATATATAACATGAGATTAATAGACTGCACATTATAAAAAATTATTTACAAACTTAAATGAATAAAAATTGTCTAAAACATGAAGAGTTTACAGATCAGTCATAAAATAATTTTCTCTGTGCCAAAATCAAGAAACGTATATTCATATAATTAGAATTCTCAAAGTAGAAGGGGATAGGCAGTAAATATTTAAAGATTTAAAATTTCTGAATTTAGTTAAAATTATAGCACACTTCCAAGAAAAATGAACCTTTTGCATAAGAAATATGAATAAAATCATACCAAGATACACAAAACTGAAATTGCCCAAAACTGTGAAGAAAAAAATCACCAAAGCATATGCATAGAAAAAAAAATATTAGCTATGATTTTTATGTATATGCTTTAATGATTTTTTTTCTTTACAAGAAGTTTTGGACAATTTCATTTTTGTGTATCTTGGTATGCTTTTATTTAAATGTCTTTGCAAAAG